TAGGTGGTACAGAGGCAATGAGTTCACACGGAAGTTCCGCGCTTTTTTAATAACGGAGTTCTATGATAAAATCGTGGGAACATAAATACGAAGAGTGAGTCAGGCCAGCAGATAGAGCGCTTTATCTTTGTGTTTTGATCGTGAATGTGCGAAAGATGAGAAGATCATGGGTAACACAACCAACGAAGAGTGAATCAGATCGGCAGTTAGAGTGCTTTATCTTTGTGTTTCGATTGTGGATGTGCGAAGGAACGTGATGCATTCGTGGTTTTTCTTCACTCCTACATGGTGGACCAAGACTTCGCCGGCTCAGAAAGGCTTACATAGAACGGCAAAAGCAGACGGTGTTCGGCCTTAGAGGGGCATCACGCTAGTGTCCGCTGACAAGGAGACCTGTGTCTCTACTCCGTCTTGCTTCTGCCGGTCAAGAGCTTCGTAGGATGTTTACTCATCGAACAGAGTCACAAAAACTGAACCATACTCCTAGCTGGGAGGAAGTGAATGTACAAATGGTAAACAACATTGATATCATGGTAGAGGCAAACAAGTGATGTTCATCCTGTAGGATACAGAAAACCTGTAAACTCCTGAGCCACAATATGGTAGGAAAGTTTGCAAGGGTCACCTTGAGAAGACGTGTGGACCTTTGTGACGCTTTTAGTCTTTTGTGATGAAGCTCACACTATTCCATGCTTTACAAGGGTTTACAGTTCTCACCCAGGTGAAGAAACTAGCAAACTAGCAAAAATTCCCACCCTTCACCCCCCCCTCCTTCCCACAACCGATCAGCACCAAAAATACAGACAAAGTTGGTTTGCTCAATAAAACAGTGATACTCCAACGTTTCTTTAGCGTAAATGTCCACAGTGGCAGAACGCGTTCCCATGGCAAATCAGCGATGGAGCAGATCTGTTGGCCGGGTGGAAATCGCGGGGCTTTTTCTCAGGGTGATAGCTTTTTTGGGGGTTTGTAAGAAACGGAAGGTGGCATATCGAAGCAATGTCCCTACTGTTGCGTTTTCTACCTACTCGCAATCTGAATGTTCCCCCGTTCGTGAAATATTTTTCTATTTCCGAAACCGGTTACGAACGCGTTAGTGGTGAATCGGCGAGGCAGGTTAATGCGAAAAGCAAGTTCTTTCGAATGCACTCTTTGCAAAAACAGTAGGAGCACGCGCCAGAACGCAAATATTTCTTTTTTCCAACAGCCTATAGTTCTCCCAAAGAACCGTAGTTAGGAATATTTTATATGGGTTACCCTTGGGCGACATTTAGAAGCTCGAATCCTTCTGTGCCATTGTGAGAATACCCAATCGCGAACTTCAATATGGTTTCAAAACACACACTCCTTTTGAACTGAGTCAAAGCACATCTGGGTTGTCGTCGACCGATTTGGTCCGAGTGTGGCCACGCTAATGCATGCAATTACACTTTACGATTGTGGAAAGTTGTAATTCCTGATTTAGATGGTTTTTCTGCAAGCCACCGCAGATGTTTTTTAGGATTTGGAAAGGTCGATACGTACAAATCTGTTTGAGCTGTATTATTCAGTCATCTACGCACTTACGAGTTCATGCTAGCTATTGATATTGCTGTTCAATTGTTTCCATATTTTGCAGTCTTCCCTAGATTCGGGTCCTTTGCAGCTTTCCCCCCACGCCCCCGAACGGCCAAGTACACCCTCCCCGATGTATTTCGTACAACGATGCTGTACCCTGTCGCCAGGAGAATTGCTACGATTTTAGCGGCGCCCTTTAGCAGCGCAATAACGAATACACAAATTTATGTCGGAATGTCGAAAAAGGTGATTGTTAGCGCAACGCGTGACTCATCGGTGCTTTGCACTAGAAAAACTGGGATGAGGCTGAGGCCCGATCCGAGCACTGTGCTCTTCAAACATGCTGTATTAAAGGCAAGAATCCGTCGTGAGCCAGCGAGATTTACGTTGTTTTTTTTGTCGAATAGAAAGCAAATTTATACGACTCCTCTTTTCGTTGGTTTTGGGGTTAGAAATAGAAATGCGTTCCTATTACCTGACCCCAAAACTCTCTCGCTCGTAAATAAAAAATGCAAAATAAAGGGTAATAAAAGCTCCAGATCAGGCTTTCCGTGTGGGAGAGAGAGACAAAAGTTGATGTGGCTCCGGGCGAGAGGCCAGATGGGCGGGGTCACTTGTACAACCTTGGGCCTTACCGCCGACACGTTACAACCTTCTGTCCCAAAACTTGTACAGGGTTCTTCGCTACGGTTTCACCATTTCCCGAGCTTAGATATTTCATAGATGATCGTAGGCCGTGCCTTCAACCTAGCAGGTGTGTGATTATGAGAAGAAGAGATTGAGATTTGTTCAAAGATTTTGAAACCCGTGGAATTTTGATAGAATTTTGGTGCTAAAGGTTATCCGACAGAGAGAGTCTCTTCCTGCACAGCTTGACCCAATCTCAAGAGTTTCTCGCCACTCTCTCGCGTCTTTCAAGGATGTCCTCCAGTTTTTTGCGTCCGTCAGGGAAACCGACCAGGCCTTGTCATAAATCTGAACACAGATCTTCGGAGGCTGTCCCCGACTGGTTTCGGCTCGACTCTGAGAGCGAGAGTGAGGCGTTATAACCTGATGGATCACCGCTTGTAGAAGGTGCTCCTTCAGATGGGAACGAAATATGCGAGCGATCCTCAAACGATCAAGGGTGTTAAGCGTTGTGGTAGTTCCGTGCACAGCCGACACGCTGGTCTTCCTCGTTCACTCATTCTCTATCTCTGTTCTTTCGCTCGCACAGCAGTGTCTCGGTTATTAGGGAGTTCGTCCAATCCTGACGCCTTTTACGGCGATTCTCAAGAGTTATCCACCTTTTCAATTGTGATTCGGTTGGAGATCTAGCGAGTCGCACTCCCACCAGTTGCTGCCTGTGTGACTTGACCACTCACGACTGTGTTCGGTCCCATCACCCATAGCTTACGATCAGAAAAGGCGATGGGAAAGGGAGGGGTGGTTAGGTAGTACTTCATTCGTAACTGTCTCCCCAATTACAATTCCCTCGTTTAACAGGATTCAGTCCATTCTGATGCCCAAAGCAAATCGACCCAGCAGGTCCGGCAGACGCCTGGTGTTGGGCAGATAGGCCACGGCGAAGTTCACGAGTTGAGATTATACTTGACAACAATTTCCTACTTTCGAACAGAGCCGGTGGGCGACCAATGAAGTGGGTTGGGCCAACCAGGAGAACTAGACCTAATAGGTGTTTTTGCGCGCCGCGAAAGCGCGTGCATCCGCCACAGATGCGGACTAAGCTACTTGCTCGATGTTAGACAAGGACTCCCAGCTAATGGTGGCACGTGCCTGTAGTTTAAGTTCAAGGTAAGATTATTGCGGTAATGGCAACAAATAATGTGGCGTTTCTCTGCGTCACTAATAGTTTCATGTTCTTTCTTATAATTTATTGCGCACAGAAAATGCCAGCTAAGACAAATTGACCCATGAACAAAGGATTGTTATCCTTGGTCAGCATGAACACAAACGGATGATCCGCTCGGAATTGCACCGGTTTATCCATAATCATCGACATTGGTACCACTTTGACGTATGAGGCAGCTGCCGCGGTTGTTCCATCCTCATCTACCTAAAATGTGATCCCGAATAAGGAGAGCAAACACAGAATGTAACATTTTTGAGTGATGAATATCTCTTCACCTCAATGATGGCTTTATGAGCAGCGTCTGAGATTTTAAGCGGAGGCTCCTTGGATATTCCAGTCAAATCGGCGTGGTCAGAGAACATGTCCGTCACTCCCATTGCTATCAACGCATCTTTCAGTTTGAAATCCGTCTCAATTTTCATCTTCGGGATTGTCAACTAAACAAAAGTATTAGAAGAAAAGATATCTTACACAATTTTAAGTGAAGGCATAGCAATCGGGAACAGCAACAGGGCGGGTGAAATCGACCCCACTAACCAGCGACTTAGTAGGACCTCCGATAGGTTCTAATGAGGATGCTGCACCCCAGTGACATTGTTGGCTAGGAGGCGGTGCAGCAGTTCCCGTGTGAAAAGGAGTACTTTGAACTGCTATCTCATAGACGCTATCTCATACGCATCTCTGTCCTGCTGTTGAGGGAAAATCCTGCAGAATAAATGCCCCCCCCCCCACCTCACCTCACCCCCCTCCAACGAGCTAGTACAACCCCACCCCTCGCTGAGGACATCCAGCGTACAACGTGTCCTGGCCATGCCTGCTCCAGCCAAATACTTGCTACTTTGACTTTATTCGCTTCATCTGAACGTGAAACTCCATTGAAAAACTCAGTACGAAAAATCGAGGTAAAAAAATTTAGTGCGGTACCGAGATATATGTTCGTTTCAGTCCCGAAAGCAGCTTTTGAATCCTTTCTCCGGTCAACTTTGGTCGAAGATCGTTGAGACCAAGTCTAAAGAATAAGTGCTGAAGATGATCGATACAAATCTGATTTGCTCAGCTTGAATTTATGTTTGCTCATCCAAAAAGACTGTCTTGGACAGTAGGCTCGACCCTAGCCAACATTCAAGTCTGGACATTATGCTACCGTATTTACTGGGTTATTCAATCC